CTGGGTGAGGGGGCGCATAAAGATGTTGAAAAGCATTGGGGAGAGTATTGCACCCTGAGGCACTCCACACACCAAGGAGTGGTGGGATGACAGTTCCCCCCCAAGCGGCACCCTCTGTCCCCGACCAGAGAGAAACGAGCGCAGCCATTGAAGGACTGTGCCCTGGATCCCCACGTCGGCAACGCGCTGGTCCAGGAGTTCGAGGGGTCTCCAGTTCCTTTATTGTATCCAAATTGGCAGGGAGGTCATGGCGGAGCAACAGGACCTTCTCCGCAAAAAAGCTCGCAAATGCCTCACAGCTGTTTGTCAAATTATTATTTAAATTTCGCTGTCCCTCAAGGGACGTTAAAGACCTAATTATACGAAATAATTGCGCCAGGCGAGAGCTAGCGGATGCAATGGAGGCCGAGAAGTAAGACTTCTTAGCAGCCTTCACTGCCATCTTATAGGTTTTCATAAAAACCCTATAAGATGTTCTTGAGGCTCCATCACGGGCACCCCGCCATACTCGCTCTAGCCGTCTGAGGTCCCGCTTCATTTTCCGGAGCTCCTCGGTAAATCAGGGAGCCCGGTTTCTGCGGGGTCGCAGAGGGCGCTTAGGTGCGATCTCATCGATGGCTGCCAGGAGCTGGGTATTCTAGCCCTCAACAAGCTCAGTCAATGAGTCGCCAGGGGGAGCAAGGTCCCGCAAGGCTTGGCGGAATCTATCACGGTCCATCAGCCTCTGCGGGCGAGCCCAAATCGGCTCGCCACCTAAGCAGGGTGGGGGTGGAAAGTCAATCCTGGCTTTCAGAGCGTAGTGATCAGACCATGGCACCTTCATCAAAGGACACGTGACCACATCTATACCAACGCCAAAGATCAAATCCAGCGTGTGGCCTGCTTGATGTGTGGGGCCCGAAACAAACTGGGAGAACCCTAGTGTCGCCATGGAAGACACCAGGTCCAGAGCCTGTGAGGAGGGAGTGGCATCAGCATGGGTGTTGAAGTCCCCCAATACCAATAGGTTAGGGAACTCCAAGGCCCAGCCGGCCACCGCCTCCAGTAGGCCTGACAGGGTGGCTGCTAGTGCGCTAGGTGGCCGGTACACCAGACAGACAGCCAAGCTCACCTCGGACCCCCAAACTAGGCCAACACATTCAATGCTGGGAATCGATGGCGATGGTAGAGCCCTGAAAGAACAATCTTCCCGGATTAATAATGCCACCCCTCTCCCCCCAGCTGACAGTCCGCGACTGGTGGAGGACAGAGAAACCCGGGGGCACCATCTCTTGTAGGGTAACTGTTTCCCCTTCGCGCACCCAGGTCTCCGTCACACAAGCCAGGTCGACCCCCTGCGAGGTAAAGAAATCTCGCAGGGTGGCGGTCTTATTGCCTATAGACCTGGCATTGCACAGCACCAGTGACGGAGGCGAGTAATCCTTGCTCACCCTACCCTCGTCCCTCGGGATGGGGCGCAGATTGGAAGGGGTACGAGCATATCCGTATCACGATCCCCTTCCCTATGACATCTGCCGCCAACCCCAATACCTCCCTCACCCCTCCACGGTAGCAATCCCAAGCCTCATACTAGCCTCCATTTACAAATAGAAAAGCAAAACAAACCAAAAACAATTATACCAAAACAAAACCAATCCCCACCCCACTCAACATCCATCCCACCCCAAACCAAAATAAAACAAACCAAAATAAAAATACATGAATAAAAACCACCGTTCACAGTGGTACAACAAAGTAAAAGTAAAAACACTTTTAAAACACTTTAAAATATATAAAAACATTTTTGACATTTGCTGCAGCAGCACCAGTGTCCTTAAAGCTGTGGTGATGGTGAGTCTGGGCCCCGCCCCCTAGGCCTGGTGGAATTGGCCTGCAGGAGGGAGCGGCCTTCCCCAGCACTCACGGTGGCAGCAGCAGCAGCAGTGTCCCAGTGCCTCAATGAGGCCTCTTAAAGCTGTGGCGGTGGTGAGTCTGGGCCCCGCCCCCTGGGCCTGGTGGAATGGGCCTGCAGGAGGGAGCAGCCTTCCCCAGCACTCACGGTGGCAGCAGCAGCGGTGTCCCAGTGCCTCAATGAGGCCTCTTAAAGCTGTGGCGGTGGTGAGTCTGGGCCCCGCCCCCAGGGCCTGGTGGAGTTGGCCTCCGGAGGGAGCGGCCTTCCCCAGCACTCACGGTGGCAGCAGCAGCGGTGTCCCAGTGCCTCAATGAGGCCTCTTAAAGCTGTGACGGTGGTGAGTCTGGGCCCCGCCCCCTGGGCCTGGTGGAATGGGCCTGCAGGAGGGAGCAGCCTTCCCCAGCACTCACGGTGGCAGCAGCAGCGGTGTCCCAGTGCCTCAATGAGGCCTCTTAAAGCTGTGGCGGTGGTGAGTCTGGGCCCCGCCCCCAGGGCCTGGTGGAGTTGGCCTCCGGAGGGAGCGGCCTTCCCCAGCACTCACGGTGGCAGCAGCAGCGGAATTATATGCTTCCACCTGATGGCGTGCAGGTAAAACAGGGATTTGTTTGTTCTTTGAAGAATTCCCTATATGGTCTCAAGCAAAGTGCACGATGCTGGCACTCTAAACTCACTGAAGTGTTGTTTCCTCTAGGTTTTCATCAAGGTAAAGCTGATCCATGTGTATTTGTCAAGGAGGAAGGGCAAAAGAAGCTGTATTGCTTGTTTTATGTTGATAATATACTTTTCTTTTGGAAGGATGTCAAAATGTAGAATAGCGCCCTAGCTCAACTGAAGGAGCACTTTGGCATGAAGATCTTGGTGAGGTAACCAACTACCTATCTCTGGAAATAGAGAGAGACCAAGATGGTCATATTTTAGTACACCAGTCACAGAAAAATGCTGATGTGTTAACCAAACTAAACCTGATGGATGCTAACCCTGTAGACACACCTGACAACAGGTTATCAGGTAGATGATACTGAAGGAGGATTTTCTGATACGACACTGTACAGAAGTGTGCTAGGCAAACTAAACTTCATTACCAGATGTTCAAGACCGGACATTGCAGTTAGCTGTAATTTGCTAAGCAGACAAGTCAACAATCCTACTGTTAAGGATTGGAAGGCTCTGAGACGCATAGCACGCTATTTGAAAGGCACTATGCATTAGAGACTGAGATTTAACAATCAGAAGTCTGCTGGTCTTGAGATATTTGCTGATGCGAGTTTTGGAAGTGACACTACAGACAGGAAAAGCATGTCTGGAGTTTGCTATATGTACAATCAGGGTCTATTTGATTGGTTGTGCAAGAAGCAAACGACAGTAAGTTTAAGTACTTGTGAAGCTGAACTGAATGCACTGTCTTATTCACTTGTGGATTGTGAATGGTTGCTACAATTGTGTAAAGACATGAGAATTCCTGTCAAATGTCCAATCCAGGTTTATCAGGACAACAAAGCATGTTTGGCTTTGCTGACTTCTGAAGGTTGTAAGCAAAGCACAAAGCACTTGCAATTGAAGCTGCAACATGCTAGGGAATGTGTTCAGAAAGGACGCGTAACGATGTCCTACATGCCAGGTAATGAAATTCCTGCTGATTTACTGTCCAAGGTTGTTCTGAAGGATCAACACTGTACCTATGTACAGAAATTGGGTTTGTACTGACATTGTACTGACATGCTGCCCAGTGGTGTTCACAGAAAGGGGGAGGATGTTAGTTTCTGTTCTTATCACTGAGCAGCTGCGTGGAGTCACAGGACTCTGTTTACATTCCAGAGACAGTCCAGACTCTTGGATGTCTCACGGGAGGGGAGACGGGATGTGACGTTAGTGGTTTCCTGTTTCCTTTGTTCCTTTGTTCAGTTGCTCTTCTCTCACAGGGAGAGGATATATATTTCTTTGCTCTCTGCATAGCTAGAAAATAAAGCATAGCAATGTAGCTCATACTATCTCATCCTTCCACATGCTGTTTCGGGAACTCTGCTAGGACGACATGCCTGAGGTGTTATCAAAGGATCAGGTCGTCAATTAATCATCGGGAGGCGATTCCGAAGATGAGCCTTATCAGCTCGGTCGAACGGAGATTCTGACAAAAGCAACATATTGAATTGCCAAAAATAAAAATTGTAAATAAACTTTTTGTGATAACACATTTTAACAAATAAAGATGAACTTAAAAATTTTGTCTTGGAATGTTAATGGATTAAATGAAAAAAAAGAGAGAAACAAAATAGCACATATTTTGACCAAACACAAAAAAATGTTGTTACTTGTCTGCAGGAAACACATGTCACAAAAGAGCATAGAAGAGTATTAATCAGCCCCAAATTAGGAAAAGAATTCATTGCTGCAGATAATGTAAAAAAAGAAATAGTAGTGATTTATGTCAGACCTGTGTTAGAGTCAGAGTTGTTATTTTCTGACCCTAAAGGGAGAATACTGATTGTAAAGATTAAAAGTCAAGGAGAAAACATCAAAATAGTAGGGATATATGCGCCGAATGGGGAAAAATCAGTATTTTATAAGAAACTAGAAAAAGCTGATGGAATATGTAAAAGATAAATTAATACTGCTTGGAGATCTTAATGAAGTAACAGACCCACAGATAGACAGATCGGAAGGAAGTAAAGGACAAGGAAAATTGCCTTCTACATTTGCGAAGATGATAGAAATTCTAGATCTAAAGGACTCATGGAGGTACAAACCTAGATTTGAGAGAGAATACACGTACCTCTCTGTGCCAAACAAAACAGGTCGTAGGATAGCTGCCATCTGGCTTTCGTTAGATTTGCTTAGAAAGATTGAAGAATCACAGATTTTACCAAAAATAATTTCAGATCACAATCCAGCGATGGGCTGCACCTCACAACGGTTGGGAGAAATGTTTTTGCCAAAAATCTCAGAAACCTCATCAGGAGGGCTTTAAACTGACTAATGTGGGGGAGGGAGACAGTGCTCCTGAAGGTAGGAGTCTAGCAATTGATGAAGATGATCATCCAAATGTCATAGACCAAATGGAGCAAACAGCACACAGAACTAGTGGTGGGAGGAAAAAATCCTTAAATAAGAGTCTCGGGGGAATGATTAATGGACTTCAATGTCTGTACACTAATGCGCAAAGCATGGGAAATAAACAAGATGAGCTTGAGCTCTTGGTACAGCAAACTAAATATGACATAATAGGCATCACTGAAACCTGGTGGGATAAGTCCCACGATTGGAATGTAATAATGGGGGGATACAATCTATTTCAGAGAAACAGACCAGACAAGAAAGGAGGAGGACTGGCGTTATATGTCAGGGATGTGTATACCTGTGAAGAGATCCAAGATTTAGAACCTCAAAGCCAAAGTGGGAGCATTTGGGTCAAAATTAAGGGAGAGAAGAATAACAGTGACCTCATTGTGGGAGTTTACTATAGATACCCAAGCCAAACGGAGGACATAGATGATGCCTTCCTGGAACAGATGGCCAAGCATGCAAAAGGAAGGGAGATAGTAGTAATGGGGGACTCCAATTACCCGGATATTTGTTGGATGTCAAACTCAGCCAAGAGCATAAGGTCAAACAGATTCCTCACTGGCCTTGCAGACAACTTCATTGTCCAGAAAGTGGGAGAAGCAACAAGAGGAACAGCCATTTTAGATCTGGTCCTAACCAATGTTGATGACCTGGTTAGTGGGGTAGAAGTGGAAGGATCATTAGGCGCGAGTGATCATGCTCTTCTGAAGTTTACTATACAGCGGAAAGGAGCAGCCAAGCATACTAGGACTCAATTTCTTGACTTTAAGAAAGCCGACTTCATAAAACTTAGGGAAGTGCTGGCTGAGATCCCATGGACAGTAATACTAAAAGGAAAGGGAATTCATGATGGCTGGGAGTTTGTTAAGAGGGAGATAGTAAAAGCACAACGTCAGGCAATACCAATGAGACGGAAACATGGAAGGTGCCTAAAGAAGCCAGGGTGGCTATCTAAAGAACTTTTAACTGAGTTAAGATTAAAGGATGTGTACAAAAAATGGAAAAGGGGGGAAACCACCAAAGAGGAATTCAAACAAATAGCCAGCACGTGTAGACACAAAGTCAGAAAAGCTAAAGCACAGAATGAACTCAGGCTTGCTAGAGAGGTTAAAAGCAACAAAAAGGCTTTTATGGGTATGTTCGTAGCAAAAGGAAGAACAAAGAAACAGTGGGGTCACTCAGAGGAGAGGATGGTGAAATGCAAACAGGGGACACAGAAAGAGCTGAACTCCTCAATGCCTTCTTTGCCTCAGTCTTCTCCGATAAAGAAAACAATGCCCGACCTGAAGAATTTGGAGCAAATGATTCAGCAAAGGAAACACAGCCCAGAATAACTAAGGAGATAGTACAAGAATACTTGGCTAGTCTAGATGTATTCAAGTCTCCAGGGCCAGATGAACTGCATCCAAGAGTATTAAAAGAACTGGCAGATGTGATCTCAGAACCACTGGCAGTCATCTTTGAGAATTCCTGGAGAACAGGCGAAGTCCCGGCAGACTGGAGGAGGGCAAATGTTGTCCCTATTTTCAAAAAGGGGAAAAGCGAGGACCCAAATAATTACCGCCCAGTCAGTCTGACATCAATACCAGGGAAGATTCTGGAGCAGATCATTAAGCAGTCAGTCTGTGAGCACCTAGAAAGGAATGCTGTGATCACCAATAGTCAGCATGGATTTCTGAAAAATAAGTCATGTCAGACTAACCTGATCTCGTTTTTTGACAGAATTACAAGCCTGCTAGATGAAGGGAACGCAGTGGATGTAGCCTACCTTGATTTCAGCAAGGCATTTGACAAGGTGCCTCATGATATTCTTGTAAAGAAGCTGGTAAAATGTGGTCTTGACTATGCTACCACTCAGTGGATTTGTAACTGGCTGACTGACCGAACGCAAAGGGTGCTCATCAATGGTTCCTCTTCATCCTGGAGAAGAGTGACTAGTGGGGTGCCACAGGGTTCTGTCTTGGGCCCGGTCTTATTCAACATCTTTATCAACGACTTGGATGATGGACTCAAGGGCATCCTGATCAAATTTGCAGATGACACCAAATTGGGAGGGGTGGCTAACACCCCAGAGGACAGGATCACACTTCAAAACGACCTTGACAGATTAGAGAACTGGGCCAAAACAAACAAGATGAATTTTAACAGGGAGAAATGTAAAGTATTGCACTTGGGCAAAAAAATGAGAGGCACAAATACAAGATGGGGGACACCTGGCTTGAGAGCAGTACATGTGAAAAGGATCTAGGAGTCTTGGTTGACCACAAACTTGACATGAGCCAACAGTGTGACGCGGCAGCTAAAAAAGCCAATGCAATTCTGGGCTGCATCAATAGGAGTATAGCATCTAGATCAAGGGAAGTAATAGTGCCACTGTATTCTGCTCTGGTCAGACCTCACCTGGAGTACTGTGTCCAGTTCTGGGCACCACAGTTCAAGAAGGACATTGACAAACTGGAACGTGTCCAGAGGAGGGCAACCAAAATGGTCAAAGGCCTGGAAACGATGCCTTATGAGGAACGGCTAAGAGAGCTGGGCATGTTTAGCCTGGAGAAGAGGAGGTTAAGGGGTGATATGATAGCCATGTTCAAATATATAAAAGGATGTCACATAGAGGAGGGAGAAAGGTTGTTTTCTGCTGCTCCAGAGAAGCGGACACGGAGCAATGGATCCAAACTACAAGAAAGAAGATTCCACCTAAACATTAGGAAGAACTTCCTGACAGTAAGAGCTGTTCGACAGTGGAATTTGCTGCCAAGGAGTGTGGTGGAGTCTCCTTCTTTGGAGGTCTTTAAGCAGAGGCTTGACAACCATATGTCAGGAGTGCTCTGATGGTGTTTCCTGCTTGGCAGGGGGTTGGACTCGATGGCCCTTGTGGTCTCTTCCAACTCTATGATTCTATGATTCTATGATTCTATTCTATGATTCTATGATTCAGTTCTGTTAAAACTACAAGCAGACTGGAAATCAGGAATATGTAGATGGAAATTGAATGAATCATTACTGAAAGAGGGAAAAATATTAGAGAGAGCTAAAAATGCAATAAAAGAATACTTTGAATTGAATAAAAACCAAGTTGATAATGTAAGAATACTCTGGGATGCTGGTAAAGCAGTGATCAGGGGATACTTTATAAAACAAGGTGTAAGAATAAAAAAGGAAAGCGAAAAGAAAAAAATAGAATTAATGGAGGAAATAAGGAAAAAAAGAAAAAGAGCAAATCAAACAACCAAATAATGATACAATTAAGAAAGAGATTAAGTTATTACAGGCAGAATATATGTCCAAAATAGAACAGGAAATAGAGTGGAATGTGGAAATGTGGAAACAAAATAATTTTGAGTTTGTCAACAAGCCCGGAAGATATCTGTCGTGGCAATTGAAAAAGAGGCAAAACCAAAGACAAATAAACAGAATAAAAATAGAAGAGAAAAATATAGATGATCCAAAAGTAATAATACAAAAATTTAAAAAATATTATGAAAATCTATATAAAAAAGAGAAAGACGCAAAAGAAGAAGTAGACAACTTAATCCACGAACAGAAAATACCAGCGATATAATAAAAAAAAATACAAATGCACGACTCCTCGATAACAACATTAGAAATTAGGAACACAATCAAGAAAATTAAATCAGGAAAAACACCTGGCCCAGGAGGTCTCCCAGCAGAATTCTATTTAAAAAAATGGAGGAAATCCTAACAGCTCCAGTGGTTGAAGTAATGAACAACATTCTTAATAAAGGAAAGATTCCAGACTCATGGAAGGAAGCCTGCGTAACATTAATACCTAAACAGGGAGGAGACCCAGAGTGAATATCCAACTATAGGCCAATGTCAGCTTGCCAGCTGCACGCATTGCTGCACTTAGCAGAAAGACACTCCCAGCAGCCAGCCATAAATTCCTTTCTTTATTTTCTTCAGACAAGATTACATGCCGAATAAACAAAGCGACCCGTCTCTCATGACGCGTTGCTCTAACTACTTTCTCTTTTCCCTCTCCCTCGAGACCAACAGAGCCAACGGCTCAGCCCCTTCCGTTTTCCCCTGTGACGTGGATCCCCTTCTCTCTGAAGCACCCCTTCCTCCCCAGACTCACTATCCTCTTCTCTGTCTTCTGAGGAGGACTCAGTACTGATCAGTGGGGATCGTTCCCTGTATCCTCTAATTCTTTCTTCCCTCGCTGCCTGCAGTGGAAGTCCTCCACTAAACCCTCCTCCGTGACCCAATCTGACGGCACCCATGTGTTATCCGAACTGGGAGCCCCCTCCCAAGCTACAAGGTACTCCAGCTGATTACCCTTCCAACGCGAGTCCAATATTTCCTCTATCCGGTGTCCCCCCTCCCTTTCCTCGACTTCTGGCGGTGGCACCTCCCCTTCCCTTCTGCCCAGCCGGTAAGCCGACAATAGCTACCAGTGGAACACGGGATGAATTTTCATGCTCTCTGGCAGCCTCAACTTAAAGGCCACCGGGTTGACTTGCTGTATGATTTCAAAGGGACCCACCCTCCTGGGTTTGAGTTTCTTACAACCCCCTTTCCAAGGCAAGCCTTGCGTTGATAACCACACCTTATCCCCCACCCGGAGGGTTTCCCCTTCCCTCCGATGCTTGTCTGCTTGCCTCTTGTATACCTCCTTGGCCCTTTCCAAGTTCAACTTCAGTTGTTGTTGAATTGCTTCCATTTCCTCCGTGAACTGTTCAGCGGCTGGCACACTCCACGATTCCTCCCTCCTCCCCGGGAAAGCCCTAGGATGGCACCCATGATTTGCAAAAAAACGGAGTCATCCCTGTGGACACATTCTCAGAGTTGTTGTATGCAAACTCCGCCAGCGCTAATTTGTCCACCCAATAGTTCTGCCTCTCCCCCACATAACAACGCAGGTACTGCTGTAATACTGCATTGACCATTTCCGCCTGCCCATTGCTTTCGGGATGTCTGGCGGTGGTGAAACTTACCTCCACTTGCAACAAACTCATGAGTTTGCGCCAGAACCTTGAGATAAATTGGGTCCCCTTTCCGAAATGACCCTCGAAGGGACCCCATGCAACTTAAACACGTGCTCCACAAACAATTTGGCTGTCTCCTCCGCAGTTACCGCATGAGAACACGCCACAAAATGGCACATTTTGGTGAGTAGATCCACCACCACCAACACCACCGTTTTCCCCCTGGACCGGGGCAGGTCAGTGATGAAGTCTACTGATACCACCTCCCATGGCCTCCCTGGTGTTGGCAGAGGCTCCAATAACCCTGCCGGAGCCGCCCTCTCCCCTTTGGCTCTCTGACAGGTCTCACACCCTCGCACATATTCCTTCACATCTTCCCTCACCTTAGGCCACCAAAATTCCCTGGTGACCAACAACATGGTCTTATGTTGCCCAAAGTGTCCTGCCATCGAGCTGTCATGCAGTTGTCGGAGGATTCGGGCCTGGAGAGCTTCCCCTGGTACATACAAAGCCCCTCGATAAAACAATAGCCCCCCTTTTTCCTCGAAACCTCCCTCAGCCCCTCTCCCTTGCCCAAGTTCATCTAACTTTCCTCTGGCAAAAGCATCATCCCGCATCAAGCGTAGTAGTTCGTCGTCCTTCACTAATGTTGCCCCACAAGCCCACCTCTGCTCGGGGAACATGAACCGGGCTGTCGGTGGTCCTTCCTCTGCCAAATACTCGGGTTTACGGGATAAAGCGTCCGCCCTCTCGTTCTGATCACCCGGTACGTACTGAATCTTGAAGTTGAAGTTGGCAAAGAACTGTGCCCAGCGTATTTGCCTCTGGCACATCACTCTCGCCGTCTGCCAGTACTCCAAATTCTTGTGATCCATGCACACCTGTGTCTGATGCTTCGCTCCAATCAAAAAATGTCGTCATTGCTTGAACGCAGACACAATAGCAAGCAATTCCTTATCATAGATACTATAGTTCACTTCCGATTTATTGAGCTTCCGGGGGGAAAAGGCACATGGATGCCACTCCCCCTCCCCATCTTGCTGCATGAGAACCGCTCCAACTGCTCGATCAGACGCATCTGTCTCCACCCGCAGTGGTAGTTCAGGGTTGACATGCAGCAGTTGTTCCTCGGAGGCGAAGACTCTCTTTAGACTCTCAAAGGCCCTCTGTGCCCCATCCGTCCACTCAAACTTCTTCTTGCCACTGAGGCAATCCGTTATGGGGGTTGCCAGCCGTGCGAAGTCCTTGATGAACTTCCGGTAGAAGTTACTGAAGCCCAGGAACCGCTGAACATCCTTCCTCGTTTTGGGGCTTTTCCACTCCACCACCGCTTTGACCTTCTCTGGGTCCATTGCCAGACCCCTGTCCGACAGCCTATAGCCCAGGAACTCGACCTCTCTCGTGTGAAACTGACACTTCTCCAGTTTCACCCATAGGCGATGCTCCTTGAGCCTAGCTAGAACTTCCCGCACGTCCTTAACGTGCTGTTCTTCATCTGGAGAGTAAATAAGTATGTCATCCAAAAATGCAGCGCAGTTTTTGTAGAGCAAAGGTCCCAACACGTGGTGCATGAAGGCTTGGAAGCACGGACTACCACACTGTAAACCGAAGGGCATAACAAGATAGTCAAAAGGCCCTAGTGGTGTGAACATGGTTGTCTTCCACTCGTCCCCCTCTCGCACCCTGATGAGATTGTAGGCTCCTCTCAAATCCAGTTTGGTGAAAATTTTCCCCTTTCGCACCCTCGCCAATACGTCATCAATTCTTGGCATTGGGAAGGCCATGGGGAGCGTCTGGGCGTTGATTCGCCGGAAGTCTACGACGAGACGTTTCTCTCGCGTGGCCTTTTTGTCCACAAAGAACACGGGGCTTCCGCCTACTGCCCTAGACTCCCTAATGAAACCTCTCCTTAAGTTCTTGTCTATAAAGGCTCTTAAGTCCTCCATCTCCTGATCGGACATAGTGTACAGTTTTCCTGCCGGTAACTTGGCCCCCGGGATCAAGTTGATCTGACAATCGTACGGCCTGTGCGGCGGCAGCGTGTCTGCCTCTCTTTCGCTGAAAACCTCTGCCAAGTCCATATATTCTGGAGGAATGCCGCCTTTCTCTCCTGCACACGTAGCCGCCACTCTGGCACTACCAACTCGCGGCTCCTTTACCCCCAAACAGTTCTCCAAGCAATGCGCCGATCCAAACATCAGGTTACGCTGATGCCAGGAGACCACCGGATTGTGCATGGCCAACCAACTCATGCCCAAAATGATGGGTGGGCCCGCCAGAGTTGCCACATGGAAAGCAATCGTTTCGGAATGCGTTGAAATCCTCATTCTCATGTGGGGGGGGGTCTGATGGGTCACTTCCCCTCCCAAAAGTTCCCTCCCATCAATGGTAGTCACTTGTAGCGGAAAGTCCAAAGGTAGTAAATGTAATTGGTGCTGCGCAGCGAAATCCCTGCTGAAGAAATTGGCACTCGCTCCTGAGTCCAACAGGGCATGGACCTCCATAGCCTGTCCATTGGGGAGATCCAGCAACACCCTCACAATTATGCCTGGTTGGGGACGTCCTGGTCGGGGCTCTGGTTCAGTTCCATTCCTGCCTGGCTGCTGCCCCGTCCCATTCCCAGCCAGGCACTGGCGTTTCCCTGCTTTTGGACTCCCCCCTCTCCCATCTGGGAGGAAACCCCCACCATTCCCTGCCAGTTGTGGCGTTCAGGACACACTCTGGCAAAGTGCCCTGGTTTCTGGCAGATAAAGCATTTCTTGGCAGCCTGCCCGTTTTCTGCCGCCTTGTGAGTTGGCCGTTGAGCCTTTGAATCTTCCCGCGCGCGGGCAGAGTCAATTTCCATCGGCTCCGAGCGAGAGTGACCTTGCTCTCCCTCCCTTGGTATGCCAGGAATGCGATCACCATGGGAACGCCGGCCTTTGCTCTCAGCCTTCTCTAGCTGCCTCAGTTCCTGCCTGCTGCCCACCGCCAGAGCAGCTTTAACGAGGGAATTCAAGTCCTGGTGTCGGGGGCCCCTGGCAAGCTCATCTTTCACCTGAGAATTCAGTCCGGCCTTAAACAGAGCTTGCACAGGTGGAGAGTCTAAGCTCCAATCAAGCTTGTGGACCAGCATCGCAAATTGGGACACAGTTGAGTTCCCCTGCCGGAGATCCAATAGCTGCTGCTGAGTCACATCCTCCTCAGATCCAAATGAAAACATAATGTCCATGGCTTCCCAGAATTGTTTGAGATCGCTGAGCGCAGCATTGTGGCTAGCAAGCAGTGGGCGTACCCAATCTCGCGCTGCCCCCGTCAAATGGCCTATAAGGTACCCCACCTTGTCAGCATCCCCAGCAAAAGCAGCTCCTTGTAGTTCTAGGGCATACTGCATGTCCAGTTTGAAGCCCGTGTATACTCGGGGGTCCCCATTGAATTTGCTTACCAGCGTCAAAGACCGGTTCAGTAAGCCCCCTCCAGAAGTTCCTTCAGATCTGGCCCTGGCTTCTTCCAAACGAATTCTTTTTTTTTTTTTTAAATAATTTTTATTAACATTTTAAACAACAAAGAAAGAAAAGAAAAACATACACAATACATATAACAAAACACACACAAAAAAAACAAGATTCAACAATAAAAAAACAGAAAACATAACAATTAAAAACAATATCTCTTTTCCATTTCCATTTTTTAGTTACTTATTTTCTGGACTTCCTCATACCTCCCTCTTTTGTATTCCAATCCAAATTGTTTGTCCAGCAGTTTCTTTTCCACTTTTTTAATCCCAATCTTTAGCTTTAATAAGATATTGAAATATATAACTTCAACTTCTTTAAACCTGATCTTTGGTCTTAATATCATATAACGTTAAAATTTTCCCTCTTATTATCAAATTTCCATTTCTTTAAACATCTTTAATCCTAATCTTTAATCTTAGTCTATCATTAACTTTAACCTGTACAGCTGGAAACCGCTTATTTTCAGTCCAACATCACTCTAACATTCTTTAATTTTGCAATGTTTCTGAAGATAGTCTTTGAATTTCTTCCAATCTTCCTCCATCGACTCTTCTCCCTGGTCACGGATTCTACCAGTCATTTCCGCCAATTCCATATAGTCCATAAGTTTCATCTGCCATTCCTCCAGCGTGGGAAGTTCTTGTGTCTTCCACTTCCAAACGAATTCTTAAATCCTGTGATGTAGCCAATAAATCATTCCTCTCTTTTTCCAGCTGTGCAAGGCGAGCTTCCATCCTGCTTTTCTCCTTGCCGACACTCTCCTCTCGAGTGCTCATTAGCTGGGTGTGAATGAGTTAGAGCAAACTGTCAGCTTGCCAGCTGCACGCGTTGCTGCACTTAGCAGAAAGACACTCCCAGCAGCCAGCCATAAATTCCTTTCTTTATTTTCTTCAGACAAGATTACATGCTGAATAAACAAAGCGACCCGTCTCTCATTAACTACTTTCTCTTTTCCCTCTCCCTCGAGACCAACAGAGCCAACGGCTCAGCCCCTTCCGTTTTCCCCTGTGACGTGGATCCCCTTCTCTCTGAAGCACCCCTTCCTCCCCAGACTCACTATCCTCTTCTCTGTCTTCTGAGGAGGACTCAGTACTGATCAGTGGGGATCGTTCCCTGTATCCTCTAATTCTTTCTTCCCTCGCTGCCTGCAGTTCCCTGACAGCCAATATCGCTATTAAATTGCGATTACAAACTTTTTGCCAGTATGCTGGCAAATAGACTTAAAGAGGCCATCAGTGAAATTATACACCCAAATCAGTCCGGGTTCCTCCCAGGAAGACAAATCTCGGCCAATACTACAAACATTATAGACATTTTAGAATATTTAGAAGCCAAAAATGATAAAAAGCTGCCTTATTATTACTCGATGCAGAAAAGGCATTCAGCAATGTTTTGTGGCATTATATGAATAAACAATTGGAGGTTATAGGTCTAGGAACAAAATTCAGAAAAGGAATAAAGACAATATATGAACAACAAAAAGCAAGGTTAATAATAAATGGTAATCTAACAGACAATTGTTGGCTATTTTCAGTTTAGTTGTGCTGCAGAAAGCTTGCTGGGGAGACCACACATTACAAGGAACTCAAAAATAACTTTATCGAGGTTTTTTGTTGTACTTACCTTTATTGTAAGATTGTATTTTAAACCAATAAAGATGTATTAAAAACAAAAACAAAAAAACAAAAAAAACAAAGGTTTGCCAGGATCCACGTGCAGGAACTGCTCCTTGGAGGCAAAGACCTTCTTTAAGCTTTCAAAGGCCTGCTGCGCCTCCTTTGTCCACAAAAACTTCTTCTTCCCACTGAGACAATCAGTGATGGGCGCCGACAGATGTGCAAAGTTCTTGATAAACTTTCGGTAGAAGTTGCTGAAGCCAAGGAACCGCTGCACATCCTTCTTTGTCTTCGGGCTTTTCCAGTCTAACACTGTGTAATGGTTCTAGGGGTTGCTCGTGCGTAAATCGGTGCCCCACCTGGCTGGGTTGCCTGAGTGAACCTTTTCTGTCCGGACAGCCACTCGCCCGTGGCTGTCTCAATCGCTGGCAGAATCCGTCAGTGGGCGTTTCTTGAACTTCTTCCAGCACAAAAGTTCTTTGACGCCTAGTCTCCGCCTAGTGTCCCTGCACGGAAGGCTTCTGCGCAGGGAGGGTGTGGGCAGCGGAGGACCCGTGCTCTCCCCGCTGGTCCCCGGTGAAGAGTCATGGAGCCACCTCGCCGATTCCCCCATCTGCCCCCCTTCTCCACTGGTGCTACGCTGATTTCCTTCCCCAGAAGATGTGCTGCTTCTCTCCCTCCCGGGACGCTCTCCGGAATCCCTCTGGAGCCCTCCCTCTCCACCTGGCTCCGATGGCAGTTCCCTGACACACTGCCTTCACCTTCTCCGGATCCATGGCAAGCCCTCTATCTGACAGCCGGTACCCCAGGAACTCGACCTCCCGAGCATGAAACTGGCATTTCTCCAGCTTGACCCATAACTGATGCTCCTTTAGCTTCTCCAACACTTGCCGAACATCCCTCATGTGCTGTTCCTCATTCTCAGAAAAGATCAAGATGTCATCCGAAAAGCAAACGCAGTTCCGGTACAGTAGGGGACCCAGTACGTGGTGCATGAAGGCCTGGAAACACGGACTGCCGCCTTGTAATCCAAATCACAATAAAACAAAACAACAACAGTACATCAAAACATTAAAAAAGAAAAAACAGAAACATTTAAAAAACACAAACCTTTAAAAAAAATAGAAGAAAAAACAAACAACCCCCCCCCCGTATTTTCATGTCCTTATCTTTCATTTGCTTATTTCCTCGACTTCCTCACACCCCCTTTTTTTGTATTCTAGTTCAATTAATTATTCCAGCAAATCCTTTCCCTCTTTCTCAAATTTAGTTCCATAATTTATCTTAACGCAATTTAACCTTAAGTTTTGCACCTTTACCCATTGTCAATCTAGTCATACTTAATTCTTTATAACATTTCTGCTAAAGTCATATAACTTCTTTCCAGCATCCTTCTAACATTCATTAATTTTACAATATTTCTGTAAATATACTTTAAATTTTTTCCAATCTTCTTCCACCGACTCTTCTCCCTGGTCTCGGATTCTGCCAGTCATTTCTGCCAGTTCCATGTAGTCCATCAGCTTCATCTGCCATTCTTCCCGGGTAGGTAGATCTTGTGTCTTTCAGTACTTTGCAATGAGAATTCTTGCTGCTGTCGTAGCATACATAAAAAAATTTCTATCCTTATTTGGCACCAATTGGCCGACCATGCCCAGGAGAAAGGCCTCTGGTTTCTTCAAGAAGGTATATTTAAATACCTTTTTCATTTCGTTATAGATCGTTTCCCAGAAAGCCTTAATCTTTGGGCATGTCCACCAAAGGTGAAAGAAAGTACCTTCAGTCTCCTTACATTTCCAACATTTATTATCAGGCAAATGATAGATTTTTGCAAGCTTGACTGGTGTTATGTACCACCTATAAATCATTTTCATTAAGTTCTCTTTTAAGGCATTACATGCCGTAAACTTCATACCTGTGGTCCATAACTGTTCCCAGTCAGCCATCATAATGTTATGTCCCACATCTTGTGCCCATTTAATCATAGCAGATTTCACCGTTTCATCTTGAGTATTCCATTTCAACAGCAAGTTATACATTCTTGACAAATTCTTAACTTTAGAGTCTAACAATTCTGTTTCCTGTTTTGATTTTTCCACTTGGAAGCCTATTGTTTTATCCACATTATATACCTCCATTATTTGATAATAATGGAGCCAATCTCGCACTTTATTTTTAGTTTTTCAAAACTCTGCAATTTTAATCTGTCTCCTCTTGTTCCAAAATTTCACAATACTTCGGCCATTTGGCCTCCATATTGAGTTTTTTCTGAGCCTTTGCTTCCATTAGTGACAGCCATCTTGGGGTTTTGCTTTCTAGCAAATCCTTATATCTTACCCAAACATTAAACAGTGCTTTTCTAACAATATGGTTTTTAAACGCTTTATGTGCTTTAACCTTGTCATACCACAAATATGCATGCCAACCAAATACATTATTGAAACCTTCCAAATCCAACACATCCGTATTTTCAAGAAGCATCCATTCTCTCAGCCAACAAAATGCGGCTGATTCATAATAAAGTTTAAGGTCTGGCAGGGCAAATCCACCTCTTTCTTTAACATCTGTTAATATTTTAAATTTTATACGAGGCTTCTTGCCCTGCCAGACAAATCTAGAGATATCTCTCTGCCACTTCTTGAAACAGTCCATCTTGTCCAAAATTTGCAATGTTTGAAACAAAAATAATATTCTTGGCAATACATTCATTTTAATCACAGCAATTCGACCTAGCAATGATAGCTTCAAATTTGACCATATTTCTAAATCCTTTTTCACTTCCGTCCAACATTTTTCATAGTTATCCTTAAATAAATTCACATTCTTAGCAGTCATATTTACCCCTAAATATTTCACTTTCTTAACCAATGTCAATCCTGTCTCCTTCTGGAACTTGTCTCTCTCAATCTCATTTAGATTTTTCTCTAAAACTTTAGTTTTCGTCTTATTCAACTTAAAACCTGCTACCTGACTGTCAGGGAACTGCCATCGGAGCTGGAAGCGGAGGGAAGGCTCCAAAGGGATGGCGGAGAGGGTCCCAGTAGGGAGAGAGGGAGCCCGTCTGCTGGGGAAGGAAATCAGCGTAACACCAGTAGAGAAGGGGGGCAGATGGGGGAATCGGGGAGGAGGCTCCAAGACTCCTCGCCGGAGACCAGCGGAGAGAGTACGGGTACTCCACTGCCCACATCCTCCCTGCGCAGAAGACTTCCGCGCAGGGAGAGTAGGAGGAGATTTGGAGTCAAGGAACTTTTGTGCTGGAAGAAGTTTAAGAAACGCCCACTGACGGATTCTGCCAGCGACTGAGACAGTCACGATGCTGGAGGCTGTTCAGTCAGAAAGGGTTAACCAGGTAACCTAGCCAGGAGTGGTGGCAACTTACGCACAAGCAACCCCTAAACCCATTACAGCAATCTGTCAGTCACCTTTGGGTCAGCTTACTGTTCGGAACACTGTCTGGGGGGGGGGGGGATACCCCAAGAATGACAGTGGCCAGGGTGGCTGGGCTGGCGGTGGAAACAAAGGGAGAGGTGCCTCCACCATACGCTGACCTAAAGGAAGTCTTCAGCGAGAAGGAGGTGGATAGACTACCCCCCCATAGGCCCTTTGACTGCCAAATCAACTTAATCCCCGGGGCTCAGCTGCCGGTGGGTAAGCTGTATGCCATGTCAGACAGGGAGATGCAGGAGTTACGGCAGTTTATTGACAAGAACCTGAAGAGGGGGTTCATAAGAGAATCAAAGGCGGTGGGGGGCAGTCCTGTGTTCTTTGTGGACAAAAAAGGGACTAATCAGCCCAGGCTGGTCGTGGACTACTGGGCCCTAAACCTGGTATCTGAACCTGTGACCTTCCCAATGCCCAGGATTGATGACATTTTAAAACAGGTGAGGCAGGGGAAAATTTTCACCAAGCTGGACCCCAGGGGAGCGTACAATTTGATCAGGGTAAGGGAGGGGGACGAATGGAAGACCACCATGTTCACCCCCCTGGGGGCTTTTGAGTACTTAGTCATGCCATTTGGATTACAATCGGGCTCCGCCTGCTTTCAAGCATTCATGCACCACGTGTTGGGGTCCCTGCTGTACAAGAACTGCGTAGCCTTCTTGGACGATGTCTTAATCTATTCAGACAATGAGAAGCAACATGTCAGAGACGTCAGGAAAGTGCTAAAGAGGCTGCAGAAGCACCAGTTGTGGGTCAAGCTGGAAAAATGCCAATTTCACACCAGAGAGGTCGGGTTTCTGGGGTACAAGTTGTCAGACAAGGGACTGGCTATGGACCCAAGCAAGGTGCAGGCAGTGCTGGAATGGAAAGCCCCCAAAACCCGGAAGGATGTGCAGAGGTTCCTAGGGTTCAGCAACTTCTACAGGAAGTTCATCAAGAACTTTGCCCATCACAGATTGTCTCAGTAGCAAAAGGAAGTTCGCCTGGACAGAAAGTGCCCAGCAATCCTTTGAAAGACTGAAGAAGGCGTTCGCTTCGGAAGAGCAGCTCCTACACGTTGATCTGGAGAAACCCATGAGGCTAGAGACCGACGCGTCCGACAGAGCCATTGGGGCGGTACTTTTGCAGCCAGGGAGGAGCAAGCAGGAATGGAAGCCATGTACCTTTTTCTCGAGGAAGCTGAGCAAGTCGGAGTCATATTTACCCCTAAATATTTCACTTTCTTAACCAATGTCAATCCTGTCTCCTTCTGGAACTTGTCTCTCTCAATCTCATTTAGATTTTTCTCTAAAACTTTAGTTTTCGTCTTATTCAACTTAAAACCTGCTACCTGACTGTCAGGGAACTGCCATCGGAGCTGGAAGCGGAGGGAAGGCTCCAAAGGGATGGCGGAGAGGGTCCCAGTAGGGAGAGAGGGAGCCCGTCTGCTGGGGAAGGAAATCAGCGTAACACCAGTAGAGAAGGGGGGCAGGTGGGGGAATCGGGGAGGAGGCTCCAAGACTCCTCACCGGAGACCAGCGGAGAGAGTACGGGTACTCCACTGCCCACACCCTCCCTGCGCAGAAGACTTCCGCGCAGGGAGAGTAGGAGGAGACTTGGCTTCAAGGAACTTTTGTGCTGGAAGAAGTTTAAGAAACGTCCACTGACGGATTCTGCCAGCGACTGAGACAGTCACGATGCTGGAGGCTGTTCAGTCAGAAAGGGTTAACCAGGTAACCTAGCCAGGAGTGGCAGTAACTTACGCACGAGCAACCCCTAAACCCATTACAATAACAAAAAAGGATCACGATAAAACAACACAGACTTGTTGGAAGCTAATGCTAAACAAACATAAACTTGCCTTCATAATACTTCCCACAAATAGAGGTCATCCATTATATGCTCAAAGAAAAGTAAATATTCCCGAAAAAATCGGAATAGTTACCAGGGGCCTTGTGACAGCACAAAATATCATCAAGGTAAAATTCCTCCCTCGTGATACGGCCCAAAATAGGGCTATAGTGACTTTTAAGAACAGGCTCTCAACTAAACAGATCCTTTCTAATAAAAACAATTTCCTGAGGGCTGGCTTGCTTGTGCACCGTTTGTTCGAAAACATCGAAGACCCTTTACCACTTCTAGGAGCACATAGGCCAGTCAGACCAAAAACCAAAACCAGCACTGCAGAATCCAACAGCGCTGGAAACGGTAAGCTGCTCTACCCAGAGGCTGGCAACCTTAAACAATCTGGCAGGTTGTACAAAACCCCGCCCTCGCCAAATAAGCTAGAAAAGGATTTCTCGTCAAAGGAAGAACAACTCCTAACAACCTATCTCGAGCAGATTCTACTTTCCCAGGATGCACTAATTGAAAGACTATCGACCATAAGGAACTTCCTTCCACCTCTAGCCCCGCCTCCTCCCATGGAATTTAATTACATCAATTGTAAATCAAAGCCTTTAACTAACGAGGAATGGACAACTTGTCGATATCTGGCTCTAGAAGAAACGGGCTCTCCTACACCCCCACCAACAGCCCAGTCCAAATTGCAACAAATCGAACTAGTGGTGCCAGCGCCAGGAATTGGCCCAATCTTCATGGACTGCCGGGGAATCCTAGAAGCTATTCATGCAGAGGAATGAAATAAGGTCTTAGCGGGTGACTGCCTGAACAGACAAATTAATACCCCCAAATTAGCCTTCCCCCCAAAAGGCTCACCCATTCCTCCGCATCGCGGCTCAATCAAGCCAAACCCAAAGGACCCGAGGAATCAGCAGCAGAAAACAGCTATGAGTGCCTGGAATCTAAAAACCTAAGAACCAACTACTGCCCTAAACATCATCTCCTGGAATGTTGCCGGCTAGTCCAGATGCCTCTCCCATTCTACAGACATTCCCTTCTACCGTCAAAACTTTAATATCATCGCTCTCCAGGAGAAGTGGGCGGCCGAAAATCCATCACTGGAAGGATACTACACATATGCAGCAAATCTGATGGGCCTGTGCACATCGCTGCTCTTCACAAAGTTTGACCGTGATAATCAACACCTGAAGCAGATATTGCCTGGAATCATGCAATCATCTCCCTTAATCATCTGTCTTAAACCAAACCCTCTTGTGGCTGTACTTACATGGTGCACTGGTCATTTGTGATCTCTCCTGCCATGAAGTGAGTTGAGTTATTACCTTGCTTCAGTAATTTGTTGGCAACCTGAAGACGCTCAGGCTATAATATGTCCAGAGGCTACAGACGACCTGATCCCCATGAAGTCTGAACTGTCATGAGCTAACTTTTTAATAAAGATATATGAATTTATTTTAAATAATAAAAAAAAAAATCCCCCAACTCTCGTTCCAACTTTTGATAAAATTCACTTTTTTTTTCATTCGGTGCATAAAAACCGATAACTTTAATTCTTTCCCCCAGGACTATTATTTCTATGACAACGACCCTTCCTTGTGAATCTTTATAGATCAATTTTGGCTCCAAATGCTTTTTTGCATATATTACAATGCCATTCTTCTTAGATTTATCTGAAGAAACAAAATGAAGTCCCAGTTTCTTATTGGATAAAATTCTTGTGTGTTGTTTTGTGATATGAGTTTCTTGCAAACATATCAAATCCAATTTCTGTTTGCTGAGTATAAATTGCACGTTATTTCTTTTCTCTTTATCATTTAAACCATTAACATTCCAGGTAACAATCCTTAATTCCATTATTTACTACACAGTGATTCAACTTCTTAACAAAAAAATAAATTAAATAAAAAAAAATTCAGAAAAGTCACTTGTCCTTAATGCTTAAGAGTCTTCCTCCTCGGATTGTTTTTTAAGATCATCTGCCCCTCCTCCCAGCTGTCTTTTACCTCCTAACTCGTCTCTATATGTTATCCAAAATTTGTCACCGTCCTCCCAAGTAACAAATCTTCTCCTTTTCCCTTTGTAAAAAAAGGAAATTCCCTCAGGGAATTCCCATCTGTGCACAATTGATTTTTTATTTAGTGCTCCCACCAATGGTTTATATTTTTCCCTGTTTCTTAAAAGCCTCGATGGAACAATTTTATGAATGATTATGTCTGTTTCCTGAAATTTAAGTTTTGTCTTACTGCTAATTTGTAGTATTTTATCTCTAATATCCATATTCACAAAAGTTACCAGACAGTCCCCTGGCTAATTATTAGCTCTTGCAATTCTTGATCTGATTCTAAAGGCTCTCTTAATTTTATTTCTCATTTCCTGTTCTTCTATTCCAATCCATTTGGCTAATTCTATTCCAATCCATTTGGCTAATTCACGGAAGAACCCCGACCAAACCTAAGAGGAGGCGTGTAGTGGTGATAGGGGATTCCCTACTGAGGGGAACAGAAGCAGTGATCTGTGGGCCTGACAAGATGTCTCAGGAAGTGTGCTGTCTCCCCGGGGCTAAGATCCAAGATGTAACTGAACGACTGCAAGGAATCATAAAACCCACTGACAAATACCCCTTCCTCTTGGTTCATGTGGGAACCAATGACACTGCAAGCAATAGCCTCCAGAAGTTCAAAAGAGACTACGAGGCTCTGGGCAGGAAATTGAAGCAATTAAATGCACAAATTGTCATCTCATCTGTCCTCCCAGTTGAACGACGTGGCCCATGGAGAGAGGGGAAAATAGTGGAAGTGAACAGCTGGCTTCGCAAATGGTGTAAACAGGAACGGTTTGGATTCTTAGATCACGGACTGCAGTTTCTTGAAGATGGACTTCTGGCAAGCGATGGGCTGCACCTCACAACGGTAGGGAGAAATGTTTTTGCCAAAAATCTCAGAAACCTCATCAGGAGGGCTTTAAACTGACTAATGTGGGGGAGGGAGACAGTGCTCCTGAAGGTAGGAGTCTAGCAATTGATGAAGATGATCATCCAAATGTCATAGACCAAATGGAGCAAACAGCACGCAGACCTAGTGGTGGGAGGAAAAAATCTTTAAATAAGAGACACGGGGGAATGATTAATGGACTTCAATGTCTGTACACTAATGAACAAAGCATGGGAAATAAAGAAGATGAGCTTGAGCTCTTGGTACAGCAAACTAAATATGACATAATAGGCATCACTGAAACCTGGTGGGATAAGTCCCACGATTGGAATGTAATAATGGGGGGGATACAATCTATTTCAGAGAAACAGACCAGACAAGAAAGGAGGAGGAGTGGTGTTATATGTCAGGGATGTGTATACCTGTGAAGAGATCCAAGATTTAGAACCTCAAAGCCAAAGTGAGAGCATTTGGGTCAAAATTAAGGGAGAGAAGAATAACAGTGACCTCATTGTGGGAGTTTACTATAGATCCCCAAGCCAAACGGAGGACATAGATGATGCCTTCCTGGAACAGATGGCCAAGCATGCAAAAGGAAGGGAGATAGTGTTGGTTTCTGCTTTCCTTCACTGTGCAGCTCTGCTTGTCACGAGACAGGTGTTTACATTCCACAGTCTGTACTGTTGGAGTTTCTCACGGGAAAGGGAGACTGGATGTGACGTACACTGGTTTCCTGTTTTTCACTGTGTGATTCTCTCCGAGCTGTCGAGGAGAGAGGATGCATTTTTCTGCTCCGGCAGAGGCAAGATGTCTTTCTGTAATATACCAGCTTTGAACTGTAAATAAAGCAATATAGAGTATGCAGCACGTATTCCTCATCCTTCCGCTGGGCACCAGACTCTGCTTTAAATCAACACGTGGTTATGGGCTCCAGAAGTCGAATCGGAGTGCCGGCAAAGGATCGGAATGCAGAGGGACAGATCGGAACGGAATCTGCTCTGCGCGTAGAAGTGATTGATGAGGTATGTGCTACTGCTCCGGGCAGCCTGCCAGCTTCAAGTTAATGGCTTTATGGCTGGACTTTGAACTTTAAAGCCGGTTTTGCCGGGAATAGGCAAAAGGCTCCCAGGCACAAGTCACTATGCTGGGGAAATCGAAAGTAACTTTTAAGTGCGCTTTTGTAATAAAGCAGCTGCAGCAGTGACGCAGCAAGATTTAAAGCAGCATATGACGCTGAAGGCTAATGCCAGAGTCATGATGGCCCTTCAGGATGCTTGTGGGATTCCTAAGCTCAACAAGAAAAATTACAGCGACTGGGTTCAGTATGCAGAGGCAATTCTGCGGAAAGAGGGTTTGTTTGAGGTGATTACAGGAACCCCCCCAGTTCCAGTTACAGATGCATGGGAAGCTAAGGATTCCAAAGCAAGGGGAACTCTTACATTGATAGTATCCCCAGAAGAGCTCTGTCTATTGCGTGATAAGACCTCAGCCAGAGAAATTTGGTACGCTTTGAGAGAGGCTCACTTAAGGACAGAAGCTGGATCCACTATGTTTTACTTTAACAAGCTGCATAATATGGCTCTTGCTGAAGGTGGAGATGTGCGTTTACATCTGATGGAGATGCAAAATCTGAGACATGAGCTGCAACAGAGAGGACTCAACTTTCCAGAGGCTGTGTATTCTTTCATGATACTACAATCTTTGGGTTCAGGTTGGGAGTCTGTTGCAACCCAGATTGCTGTGCAACCAACTGCTCAGCTGACAGTGGACTTTGTTACTGCCGTGATTTTAAATGAAGCAGATCGCCGGGGTGCTAGCTGCATGGGCAAGGGGAGTCTTCACAGACGTCATCCCATAGTGCAGTGGAACCACCAGATGGCGCCAAAGCTTTGAAGGCAGTGAAATGCTACTCGTGTGGACGTCTAGGCCATATGAAGAGGGAATGCAGACATCCCAGGGCCAAGACAGAGCAGCGCAGCGAAAGCTCATCGCGCGGAAAAGGCCGAGGCAAAGGCAAAGGTCCGGTGTCTAGGACAACGCAGCACAAGGCTATGGTTTCACGCTTCACTCCAAAGGTTGCAGAGGTCCAGAAGACGTCTAGATCTTTCTTCGTTGTTGATTCAGCGGCCACCCACCACATGTGCAACGATAAGAGACTGTTTGTGTCTTTTACACCGCAGGAAGGTGCGATTCACCAGGCGGATGACCACACTATTCCCAGTAAAGGCTACGGAACTGTTGTTCTTCACAGTTTGGACTTATTGATACAGAATGTGCTTTACGTGCCAGACGCCAAACATAATCTGCTCAGCGTTGGACAGCTGAATGAGCGGAACATTGACGTTTCCTTCAAGAACAAGAAGTGCATCATCACAAAGAAAAATGATTATGTATTGCATGCAGAATATGTTGATCATTTGTTTGTTTTGTATTATGATGATGTGGTGCAGGATGACACTTGTTGCATTGCAGGTTCTAACAAAAGTTTGCATGCAGAATGTATTCACGATTTTCATCGAAAATTTGGTCATTTGCATTTTGAGGCAGTATCTAAAATGCCTGCCTTGGTTGAAGGTATGACTATTAAACCCTGCAGGTACCACATGAAGTGCAAAGCATGCGCAGCAAACAAGGTGAAAATGGCTGCGAAAGGTAAGGTGTCTAGTAGGAAAGCTACAGAACCATACCAGGTTGTTCATGCTGATTTGGTTGGACCACTAGCGCCCTCTTTGGGTGGAAATAGATACTTCATGGTTCTCATTGATGCATTTTCTAGATATATTTTTGTGTACAATCTCAAGCAGAAATCGGAGGCTTTTCCTAGGTTCAAGGAATTCTGTGCTTGGTTGGAAAATGTGCATGGTAAGAAGATAAAGACTCTTTTCAGTGATCGCGGGGGAATTCACTTCTCAGCAGTTTGAAGCTTTTCTGACTGAGAAAGGAATTCAACACGATTTGTCTAGTCCTCGCTCGCCATGGCAGAATGGACTTGCGGAACGGGCAAATCAGACATTGCTTCAAGGGTTAAAAACCTTGCTGCATGATGCCAATCTTCCAGAGAGTTATTGGGCCGAATCTCTCTCGTGTTTTGTTTACAGTTACAATCGCAGGTTATCTTCAGCGATTGGTTGTACCTCTATGAGAAGATGTTTGGCAAGAAGCCATACATCAAACACATGAAGATTTTTGGTTCTGACATGTGGGTTCGCTCACCACAAAACTCCAAGTTAGACAAGCGTGGATTGCATGGTATCTTTCTAGGTTATCAGAAAGGGTCTTACAGAATAATGATGACTGACTCTAAGACAATTAAGCTCACGAGAAGTGTTGAGTACAATGCAAAGTGGGGGAGAATGTGGGAATTTTCCAATGTTATCCTGATGACGGTGATGAGACTGAGGATAGTCAAAAGCAACCACAACAGCCCACACCCACTGATGAAGGTTCTGAGTCTGAATCTGAAACTGAATCGGGTGATTCAGAGGATTTCGAGAGTGCGAAAGCCTCTATGCGACCCTCTGAAAGCTCTGATCAAGAATTGGAGGAACCATTGTTCACAATAGGTCGTTTTTCTCCTAAGAAGGAAGAGGAGAGTGTTGAAGACTTAAGGCTAATTCGTAGGTCACAGAGAGCCACAAAAGGCAAACCTCCAAAGAGATTTGCTGATGAGTTTGCTAAGATAGCAGTAACAGCTGTTAAAAGCTCCAAGAAGGTATTTGAACCTTCAAGTTTCCAAGAAATCCAGGGTTTGGATTCAAAGGAAGCTGAGCCATGGTTAAATGCCATGAAGGCTGAGCTTGATTCCTTAGAAAGGAACAAAACATGGGAGCTAGTTCCAGTAGTTCCAGGAATGAAACTGCTTGGAAGCAAATGGGTCTTCAAAGCGAAGACAGATCAAAATGGCAAGATAGTCAGACACAAAGCCAGATTGGTAGCCAGAGGTTTTGCACAGGTACCAGGTCAAGACTATCACGAGACCTATTCACCCACAGTGAGATATGAAAGCATTAGGCTTATGCTTAAGCTAGCTGCAGAGGAAAATCTACACATTAGTCACCATGATATTAATACAGCTTTTCTGTACGGATCTCTAGATGAATCACTTTATATGCTTCCACCTGATGGCGTACAGGTAAAACAGGGATTTGTTTGTGCTCTGAAGAAATCCCTTTATGGTCTCAAACAAAGTGCACGGTGTTGGCACACAAAACTCACTGAAGTATTGTTTTCTCTAGGTTTTCAGCAAGGGAAAGCTGATCCATGTGTATTTGTCAAAGAGGAGGGGCAAAAGAAACTGTACTGTTTGTTTTATGTTGATGATTTATTATTCTTTTGGAAAGATGTTGCAATGTACAATAGCGCCCTAGCTCAACTGAAAGAGCACTTTGACATGAAAGATCTTGGTGAGGTAAACAACTACCTATCTCTGGAAATAGAGAGAGATCAAGATGGTAACATTCTAGTACACCAGTCACGGAAAATTGCTGATGTGTTAAGCAAACTAAATCTGATGGATGCTAACCCTGTAGACACACCGATGACAACAGGTTATCAGGTAGATGACACTGAAGAAGCATTTTCTGACACTACACTGTACAGGAGTGTGCTAGGCAAGCTAAACTTCATTGCCACATGTTCAAGACCAGACATTGCTGTTAGCTGTAATTTGCTAAGCAGACAAGTCAACAATCCTAGTGTCAAGGATTGGAAAGCTCTGAAACGCATAGCGCAGTATTTGAAAGGCACTATGCATTACAGACTGAGATTTAACAATCAGAAGTCTGGTGGTCTTGAGATATTTGCAGATGCAAGTTTTGGAAGTGACGCTACAGACAGGAAAAGTACGTCTGGAGTTTGCTACATGTACAATCAGAGTCTGTTTGATTGGTCGTGCAAGAAGCAAACAACAGTTAGCTTAAGTACTTGTGAAGCCGAACTGAATGCACTGTCTCATTCACTTAAGGATTGTGAATGGTTAGTACAATTGTGCAAAGATATGAAAATTCCTGTCAAATGTCCAATCCAGGTTTACCAGGACAACAAAGCATGTTTGGCTTTGCTGAAGTCTGAAGGTTGTAAGCAAAGCACAAAGCACTTACAATTAAAGTTGCAGCATGCTAGGAATGTATTCAGAAGGGACTCGTAACGGTGTCCTATATGCCAGGTAATGAAATTCCTGCTGGTGTATTGTCCAAGATTGTATCAAGGGATCAACACTGTACCTATGTGCAGAAGTTGGGTTTGTACTGATATTGTGCAAACACGCTGCCCAGTGATGTTCACAGAAAGGGGAGGATGTTGGTTTCTGCTTTCCTTCACTGTGCAGCTCTGCTTGTCACGAGACAGGTGTTTACATTCCACAGTCTGTACTGTTGGAGTTTCTCACGGGAAAGGGAGACTGGATGTGACGTACACTGGTTTCCTGTTTTTCACTGTGTGATTCTCTCCGAGCTGTCGAGGAGAGAGGATGCATTTTTCTGCTCCGGCAGAGGCAAGATGTCTTTCTGTAATATACCAGCTTTGAACTGTAAATAAAGCAATATAGAGTATGCAGCACGTATTCCTCATCCTTCCGCTGG